ATATTAATGTATATACTGTATATCCTAGTCCATTTTGATAACTCAGTGTGACAGAGGAATGTCGAAGGATGCAATCCAGTGGAGAGCAGATTAATCATAAAGAGGGGATACTCAGCCTCAAATATCGGACACTAGTCCAAAATATTTGTTATTGCAAAGTACAGTTTAAAAATGTGTTTATCTCTTTTTATTGTGGTTTATATCTCATCATTCAATATTTGAATTACAGATTCTGAATACTGGTGGATCCCTCCAAGGTGAAACTGGGAGAGCACACTGATGCCTTTATGTAAGACACAGAATCCCAGTTGGTCTCTTTGTGCAGCCCACAAGAACAAACGATGCAATCCACTGCAATGTCATCAATGCTATCTGCCTTTCATATCAACATTCCATCGATTGGTTTCTGTTGCCTCTTCCAATTTTATGAAAAACATTTTTAACCACAAATATTTTTCTTAATGACAACAATAGTGTTATTTGAAGGGTTCACATAAATATAAAAGTTGACTTTACCTCAAAGTCTTGCTAGTGCGTAGAGCTGGTATAAGTTTCTTCAGTCCTTCACTCTGAATATTACATTTGGTTAAGTTTATTTCTTCTGTGTCTCTGCAGGATTGAAGGATAAAAGACAGCACAGAGCAGTCCAGAGGGCTGAGAGGGACATCGGAAAAGTCAACTTTCTTTGATCCAACACATTGTGACACCAGAGCCGTATTCCTGCTCTCATAAAGAGAGAAGAATACATTAAGAAGCACTCTCTTGTCTTGTGTAGATTTGTCTGGTCTTTGTTCTTCTGTAATTTTCTTCTGGATCCAGGTGATGACATGTCTGGCAGCCGGAGTAGACAATTCTCCCACATGAGACTTTAACATGGATCTAGTAGAAGAGTCGGAGAGACCGCAGAGGAAACGGAGAAAGATTTCAGCACGGCCATCTTTGTAAGATTCAGCTTCATCAAGTGTTTCCTGTAATGTGTCCGGATTATAGTTAGTAAAATGGACTAAAGCAGCAAAAAACTCCTGAAGAGTGAGATGTAAGAAGGTGTAATCCACATCAGGAGGCTGACCAGATTCCATCATTAAACATGAAAAGAGATGTTTATCATTTCTCACACTGAATGAGTCCAGATGACGCTCATCAAATACAATCATGTGATTCATGACTCCATGTTCTGCCATCCACCCAATAGATGTCAGCACTTCCCGGGCAGGGTGACCATCATATTTATTCTGGCAGTGATTGGCCAGAATGTTGGAGACAAAAGTCACAAAGAGTTGTGTCACTGTTTTGGGCAATGATGTCATCAGCTGATCAGTGTTTGTTGGTTGGGCTCTGAAGCACATTGATAACACTGTACAGATGATCCAGCAGTATGATGGGATATAACAGAAAGTGTACAGCGTGTCATTCTCCTGCACATAATGAAAAGCCTTTTCTGACAATTCCGCATTTTCAAAGTAATATTCAAAATAGATCAATCTGTCTCTGGGGAGAAATCCCATGATGTCAGCTATTCTCTGGAAGACACCAGTATCAACTGAGGCCAGTCTGGTTGGGCGGCTGGTGATCAGTACAGAGCAACCCTTAAGAAGATTCTGTCTTACCAAATTGGACACAATACTGCTATAATCTTTCCTTAATTTTGGATCAGTGCACAGTGTGCTTGATCTGAAATCCATTTGGTGAACACTTTCATCTAAGCCATCAAATATGAACAGAAGTCTCTCTGGATGATGTAAAATATCTCCAATCTGACTCCTCAGGTACGGATATTGTTGAAGAATCATCTCCTCCAAGCTGACCTCTCCCAGTCTATTAAGGTCCCGGAATCTGAAGAAGAAGAGAAAAGCAAATCTCTGGTAGTGTTTTCCGGTCACCCAGTCATAGACAAACTTCTGTATCAGTGTGGTCTTCCCTATTCCTGGCACTCCGCTCACCATTACTGCATGTGGTGCACATTGTGACTGGTGGCTCCATCTGAACAGCCTATTGGGGGTAATGTGTTCTAGTCCAGTTTGTGTTTCCTTCAAATGTTTCTCAAGTTTTACTCCAATCTGTATTAGCTCATTCTGGGGACGTTGCCTGAACTGTTGGGTGGAGACTACAATCAGGTTCACATAACGCTCATTGATGAGGAATTTTTGCGGTTCCAGGGTAGTTCCTGGGGGTTTATGCTCCACTAGAGTTTGGGTTTTCTCCATCAGATGTTGTTTGTGCTCCATCTGAATATCTGGAAATATAATGGACAATATTTATGACTCAGGTTAAAGCAAAAATTAGTGTAACTATAAGCAAAATAAAAAAAACCTGTATGTGATATAGACTATCAGTAGCATTAACAAAGCAGAGTTTGTTTTTCTCTCTGTAACTTAGTTTTATCACCTGTTGATCTTGCCATTAAATTCCCTTTTTTCCCAGCAAGCCAAGTTGCCCAGCAAAAGAAGAGCCTTAGGCCCCATTCACACCTATGCGTATTGTAATATGCGCGTCTGTCGCGCGACCGTCACGCGTTTTTTTTACCGCGATTCGCGGTAAAAAAGCCGCGCGACCGTCGCGCGATTCCAAAGGCTACTTGGCAGTATACTAATGGAAAACGCCCTACAAAACGGACCAATACGCAGCAAAAAACGCTTCGGGACCTTTTCATGCGTGGGCCGTTTTGTAGTGCGTTCGGGACGGGCGGAAATACGGACAGGTGGGAACGAGGCCATTGACTACAGTGCTATTTATTTTTTTGACCGTTTTGTAGAGCGTTCATCGAGCGTAGGACGCGCTACAAAACGGTCAGGTGTGAATGGGGCCTTAAGGTGCCCATACACTTTACAACCCTCGCAAGACTTTTGTCTTGCGAGGGTTGTAAAGTACCTAAACAAAACGTACGATCTGCCCATCTTGGACAGGCAGATCGTACTTGCGATCATCGAAAGCCCGCCCCCTTGAGGGGCGGGCTTGCGATGACTGCAATAAGTGGCGGGCTTGCAAGGACGGCAAACGGGCAGTGTGCGCGTGCACACCGGCCCGTTCGTCAGTTGTCGAACAAGCAGGCCACTCACTCGCCGAGAATCGTACGATTCCCGGCGGGTTTTCCAGCCTGCTTGTTCGATGGAAGACGTGCGACCGTACAGTAGAAACGGTCGCACGCCTTCCATACACTGTACGATTCTCGTACGATCGCGGGATTTCCAGCGATTCTCGAACGAGAATCGTACAGTGTATGGGCACCTTTACATTTATAGAAAGTCCTTGTGCCAGCTGCTAAATGGACAGAGCAGCTATCAATCAGTTAGCAGGTGGCGTGAACTGTTGCAGATTGGATAAAGGCAAAGGGAGAACACGGTCCAGAAAATTAGAAACTTGTGTTCACCCTATTAAGAAAGGCCTCAGAGAGAGCAGAAACTGGTAAGATGAAGAGTTATTCATTAGGGATGCACCAAGTACCGGATTTCCGGTACTCGCCGATACCGAATACCAATACTGGAAGTCCCATTAAGGAAGATTCCTGGTTAGCCAGGAAGTCATGCGGTGTGTAATGACTCGCTGCCCGGCTTCCCGATTAGCCAGGAAGCCATCTCCATGCTACCACGTTACCAGGTGACGAGGAAGCATAGAGCCTTCAGTGGAAGGCCTTTTACTTTGCAGAAAAGTCTTTCCTTCAGGAGCATCTCTACAGTCAAATGGCCCATCTGGTTGAGTGGTTATACTTTTAGAGATTCTTTTCACAAGCCCATTATAAACATAACATACTACATGTATTATGCATTACATACATAAACAATGTAGAAAAATATACATAAATATAGTAAGTAAACTCTCAGTTATCCGGTATTCAACTAACCAGAACTATCATCTAAGCAGAAAAACAAATCCCCTGTGTACTCACTGTTTTGCTGAGCTGCGGCATGTATTATCCTGGATGAAACGGTCGCACGCCTTCCATACACTGTACGATTCTCGTACGATCGCGGGATTTCCAGCGATTCTCGAACGAGAATCGTACAGTGTATGGGCACCTTTACATTTATAGAAAGTCCTTGTGCCAGCTGCTAAATGGACAGAGCAGCTATCAATCAGTTAGCAGGTGGCGTGAACTGTTGCAGATTGGATAAAGGCAAAGGGAGAACACGGTCCAGAAAATTAGAAACTTGTGTTCACCCTATTAAGAAAGGCCTCAGAGAGAGCAGAAACTGGTAAGATGAAGAGTTATTCATTAGGGATGCACCAAGTACCGGATTTCCGGTACTCGCCGATACCGAATACCAATACTGGAAGTCCCATTAAGGAAGATTCCTGGTTAGCCAGGAAGTCATGCGGTGTGTAATGACTCGCTGCCCGGCTTCCCGATTAGCCAGGAAGCCATCTCCATGCTACCACGTTACCAGGTGACGAGGAAGCATAGAGCCTTCAGTGGAAGGCCTTTTACTTTGCAGAAAAGTCTTTCCTTCAGGAGCATCTCTACAGTCAAATGGCCCATCTGGTTGAGTGGTTATACTTTTAGAGATTCTTTTCACAAGCCCATTATAAACATAACATACTACATGTATTATGCATTACATACATAAACAATGTAGAAAAATATACATAAATATAGTAAGTAAACTCTCAGTTATCCGGTATTCAACTAACCAGAACTATCATCTAAGCAGAAAAACAAATCCCCTGTGTACTCACTGTTTTGCTGAGCTGCAGCATGTATTATCCTGGAAATGATTGTGTGTCTATTTGTCTTCATTTGCTTTTGATTACCGTATTTTTCACTCCATAAGACGCACTTTTTCTCCCCCAAAAGGAGGGGGAAAATGTGCCTGCGTCTTATGGAGCGAATACCTATCGCCTGATGCCCGGGACATGCAGTTTCGGGCGCCGGGCGAGTAGTTTTTTGTACATTCAGCCCTGATCCTGACGAGCAGAGCTTAACGTACAGTGTTTAATACAAGTGATCTAATTACAAGTGATCTAATTAGATCACTTGTATTAAATCTAGCAGCGACGGCGATCAGGTCTGCCCCCCGCCGTGGTTTTCAGGGTCCCCCATAGGAGCTCACCATAGAGCTCCTTGAGCAGACGAAGAACTTCGTTCTACGTCTGCTCTGTGTGATTACTGAGACAGCGCCACCTGTCTCAGCGGTCACTAACTGCAGTTTCTGTCACAAAATTTCTGTCACGGAAGCCCTGCGTCCTATTGTCCGGAGCGCCTTATAGAGCGTGAAATACGGTACTTTATTTGAATATTAATTTGAAGTCAAGACAGAGTTTATGTTATTGTATGGTATAGTATGGGGTATGGCATTAGTTAGACCTATTTTTAATAGTAACTCTCAAGTTTGTTTTTAAGCAAGGTGTTTACAAAGCTGCAACATTGGTTGTTTGGCTTCAGATGTTATGACATCTGAATTCCTGTTTCTTTTTCTGTAAGTTCTGAGTCAGTACTCAAAACCTCTTGATGCCCAAGGCTCATTCTGACAGCCAGCACATAGAATTTACAGTGGTAACCTTTATATTCTTTTCATGTCAGGGTTCTTCTATTCTCAGTACTGGCTGCAGGCAGAGGCGTAACTAGTGACCTCAGGGCCCCGATGTAAGAATCTATGAAGGCCCCCCCCAAGAAGAAACAAATTATATATATATATATATTTTTCTTTTAAACATATTTTAGACATATTTTCTCCTCTTTCATGTCTCCAGCTCCCCATTATCTCCCCCTTCATGTCCCCAGCTTTCCGCTCCCGTACCCCACACTCTCCTCTTCCCTGTCCCCAGCTTCCCCTCCTCTCCCCCTTCACGTCCCCAGCTTTCCGCTCCCGGACCCCATGTCATCTTCATAGTCCCAGCTCCCTATATCTCCCCCTTCATGTCCGCAGCAGCTCTCTATTCGGCAGCGTTCTGTATGATGAGGGGGCGGAGATAACACCGCTTCCCACTCATTGGCTGCTGCGCCGGCTGCGCCCAGAACAAGGTGAGGGGAGCAGAGTGAAGCATGTAGGGCCCAGGACAGGAGGAAGAGGTCCTGGGACTGACATTAGAGGTTTTTGGGATAATAAATATCCTGGTAATCAGCGGTTACCAGGGGCCCCTTCCTCCTTTCCTAGGCCCCCTCCAAATGTCGGAACTCCAGGGCCCGTTTGCAGCCGCGACCCTGGTAGTTCTGCCACTGGCTGCAGGCTATATACAGGGTGCAGTCTATAAAACCACGGCATGAAGATATTGCCGCATACTCACAAAGCTACAAATGATTTCTTCCTGATATCACAATCAATAAAAATAAACACTTAGGCCTCGTTCACACCAGACACAGTGTGTTCCGGCCCGATTCTGGCCGGTACCCACTGCATTGCATTGCGGCCGGCTCACTATGTTGTGGGGCAGGAGGGGGCGTGGCGGTCCATTGAAGTGAATGGCACCGTAGCCTTGCAATCCGGCCGCATGGGAACGCAAGGCACATCAATGCCTGCAGGCCGGCCCGAACAAAATAGTGCTTGCAGCATTTTGTTCGGACCGGACCGCAGGCATTGATGTGCCTTGCATTCCTGTGCGGCCAGAGGGCGTGGCTACGGTGCCATTTACTTCAATGAAAAGCCACACCCCCTCCTGCCCCACAACATAGTGAGCCGGGCCGTAATGCGATGCACTGTGTTCCTGGCCGGAACACACTGTGTCTGGTGTGAACGTGGCCTTAGTTATATAAACTGTATATTGTACTTACCTCTCAGCTCCGGAGTCAGTGAATGTCCGTGTTCATCCAGCAGAATCTGATCCACCAGACGCTCACCTATAGAAAGAAAGAATATAGAATAATAACATAAATCAACCTGAAGCCGATCTTTCACATGCATTAAACACACACATTAGAGAGATGTCTAAGTGACCAACATATAACAAAACATTTCACATGTGCTGAAGTTGTTTTGACTTATCTGCATTTGACATGCCTAAAGAACAACTCCAGGGGTAAAAATCTGATTAACCCTTGCAGTGGGGCTACTCCCGCACTGCAAGGGTTAAGTGCTCATTTTTGCTCAGGTTCAAAATAACAAAGCTATACTCACCTGATCCTCCGAGCTGGCCGTCTGTGACAGTGCTTTCTCCTGCCAGTCTCCCGCTCTGCTGCAATGATGGAATGTCCCTCAGCATCCTCAAGTCCTATACACTGTGTATAGAATGTGATGACTCAAGAACCATAGACAGCGGCAGTGGCGGGAGAGAGATGCTCTAGGGACCGTTCTAAGAGCAAGCAGGCATGGAGGATGGGGTGAGTAGAATTTTTTTTTTAAATTTAGGCAAAAATGAGCACTAGCTAGGGATGCACCAATACCAATTTTTCTGTATCGAGTACGAGTAACGATGCTGGATGTCCCATTAAGGAAGCCGGGCGGTGTGTAATAACTTGCCGCCTGGCTTTCTGATTGGAGACGGCATGGAGACGGCTTCCCTGCTAATCAGGAAGCTGGGTGGTCAGTCATTACACGCCGCCTGGCTCTCCTAATGGGATTTCTGGTATTGGTACTTGTACTTGATACCAAAAAAACGGTATCGGTGCATCCCTAGCTCTGTGTATTTTATCCAGATCTCTGCAGTAATCCAGTGTGAAACTTTGACTTGGTGCAGGAGCTACCTGTATTTAGGACCAGTCACTGCTGTATTTGCAGGGTGATTGGTCTTGTCTTCACCTCCCTGACCTGTAGTTTTCTGCAGGCGGCCTGTGGTGGAACCCTAACACTGCTCTGCACTCTGCACAGGCTGTGTACAGCACAGTGATGATATCACTGCTATTTTACACAGTAAAAAATGGGTTTTAAAAGGTATTTGGTGCACATAGAGTGGATTCATAGCCTTTGTGGCAGGGCATAGTAACAGTATCTCTGCAAAGGTCCCCCCTTGAACCCTCTATACATACCTTACCAGTGCTCCCCCACCACCTCTTTCTCTTTCACAGCCAGTGACAATACCCCTTCAAGTTACAAGGGAGCATGTGACAATGCTACAAATAATTGCTAGGCCTGAGCATGGTCACATGACTGGGGGAGTGACTTCACCGCTCTCCCAGGTAAGTATAGAGGGGGTCAGAGGGGGCATTTGCATAGGCAGTTTCACTTTGCCCCGCACGGGAAAGAGTCTAAATAAAAAGATAATTTACTGCTAGCTAAGAATATGTAAATACTTGACTGTCCATAGCCAAGCCACAGGTTTACTAAAAGTAACCCCTTGTCCTGTATACTGACCTTGTTCTGCACCGGGACAGCCACGGTCCACCATTACCTTTCACTGTTATAGCCTAGTAAACTGAATCTGAAGATATCTGTGCTAATGATGAATATGATATCACAAATTTGATTTTGAAAACAACGTGCTATTACCTTCCTGGCGAATCTCGTCCAGAACCGCCAATAAATTAGGATGGGGATGATCTTTTTGGAGCGCATAGAGACATTCCCAGAGTCCAATCACAGCTCCTCTTCCCAGTTCCAGAATATCTTGTAACAAGGTCTGAGAGAAGTCACTTGCATTTTGTTTATTTGGCAGGTATTTCTGAGAAACAAATGTATCATTGATTTATATTTCTGAACTAATAATAATGCCATTGATAATATTTATAATAAAAAATATATTGATTTAAAGAGATTTTTGATTAAAAACCCCACAATACATTGTAGTTTGAATGCTTAACCCCCTCCCGTCCGGCGGCCTTATTTAAATGGGCGGACAGGAACCTAGTAGATGCAGGTGGGCGGTTTAAAACTTCCTTCCCCGCCCCCGAGCGGGAGAACTGTGCACGCACTGTCCAGTAGACAGTGCCGTTTCCAAAACAAGGTATTTGTCACAGCCATGCGATCTGCTGTGACAAATCACGGCTGTCAAAAATGTAAAACAAAGGCTGCGTTTTGCACCCTTGTCTCCATCTCCTCTCACACACACCTATCTAGAGGCAGAGCCAGCTGTACCCGCCCCCTCCCCGTCCGTTCCGCCAGTCAGCGCTGGAGGATCAGAGCGGGGAGGTGGGAATCCAGTCGAGAGGTGAGCGAACGCCGGTATGTGTTCGCTCACTTCCCGATCTACTGAGCCGACCTGTGACAGTCTCATTGTCACAGGTCGGCTAGAACTATGAGGATGAGTGAAAAGCACTCACCTCATAGTTCTCCTTTAAACTGTACCTGAGGAGCAGAAGGAGAGAAGATCTTCTGTTTTAAAATCAAAATCTGACCAATGTCTGAGACCACATGCTGGTTTCCCAATGCCCTCATTTATCAGAGGTTTACCCATAGACGTCTCTGGGTCCAACACTAAGGATTACAAAGACTTTTAAGGTGCCCATACACTGCACGATTTCCATACGAGAATCGCGGGAAATCCCGCGATCGTACGATAATCGCGCAGTGTATGGAAGGCGCGCGACCGTTTCTACTGTACGGTCGCACGTCTTCCGTCGAACCAGCATGCTAGAAAACCCGCCAGGAATCGTACGATTCTCGGCGAGTTAGTGGCCTGCTGGTTCGACAACTGCCAAACGGGCCGGTGTGCGCACGCGCACACTGCCCGTTTGCAGTCATCGTAAGCCCGCCCTTCATTACAGTCATCGTAAGCCCGCCCCTCAGGGGGGCGGGCTTGCGATGATCGAGAGTACGATCTGCCTGTCCAAGATGGGCAGATCGTACATTTTTTTAAGTACTTTACAACCATCGCAAGACTGAGGTCTTGCGATGGTTGTAAAGTGTATGGCCACCTTAAACCAACTCTCATGCCCTAGAAATTGAACAGAAGCTTCAAACAGCAGGTGTGAGATCTGGGAATGCTTAGGTATGTGTTATTCCCTCAATTCACATTGATTAAACACGATTAACGTTTAGTCACTGAATCATACTGTGATGCAGGTGATTCAGAAATATTGTTATCTCACCTCTGCATTTAGGACATTTCGGGATTTTAGTTCACCGAGGACGGCGTGAGTATTTACGTTCTCCAGGATGTTGGTCAGATCATCATTGTAATACTCATGTATGCTCCTCAGTGATGAATCAGGATAGGCTGACAGTTGATTGCGGAACCTCTCAATGTCCTCTAGAGAAACACACAGAATATTTACAGGTCTGTGGATTTAAAGTGACACTAAACTTATGAGTTAAATCCTAAAAATGTATTCAAGTACCTTAACTCTGAACAACAATGTATCTTATTTGTGTATTACTCGGCTGCAGATCCTCCAATCATGTCTGAATTGGTGCTGACACTGTCCTTCCTTCTGGAGGGGGGCTACTTTTGTTCCCCATGGTCCCTGTGTGTGTTGTAAAGTAGTCACCACTCCATGCTCACTCCCAGGATGGACTACAAACTCCTGTTTAGTTTAATAATTTGCATTGAGATTGTAGTCCATGACGGGAGTGAGCTTGGAGCGGTGGCTACTTTACAACACACACAGGGACCATGGACCAGCACGTCCGGCAAATTGACCAACATGTCCCATTTTTATCAGCCAGGTAACCAGCTTGAAGCTAACATTGTGTTCAAAAGAAAATAACGGGGTTATTCACAAAGCAGACGAAGGCAGCCGAGTGAATAACCGAGCTGTAGTGAAATGACGACAACGACGATGTTCGGCTATTCACTACGGCTCAGTACAGCTGAAATCAGCCGTACATCGGCTGCCTTTGGTCAGCCAAACATGCTCTGCATGTTCGGCTGAGCCGAAGTGCAGGAGGACTTTGACTTAGCCGATCCAACATCTGGCATTCGGCTCAGCTATTCTGCTCGGTACCTCCGTGGTACCGAGCTGAGTAGGAAATCAATGAGAATAGTTAAAAAGAAAAAAAAGTTAAAAAAAATATTTTAAAATTTAAAAAAATTGGAAAATTAAAAAATAAAGATTTAAAAAAATAAAGAAAAAAATGGGCGGAGCTAGCAGTGACAGCTAGCTCCGCCTAACTGATTCCTATTGACCGGCACCTGCTAGAGTCTTCTAGCAGGTCCCGGCCAATGAATAACAACTGGGCGCAGCCGGCCGTGACTTCACGGCCGGTTCTGCCCAGCTGTTATTGTTTAATGACAGTTCAGCGTTCTCAGGTCATTTGGGGGGGCGCTATTCTGTCATTAAAACTGGGTGGAGCCAGCTGTGACATCATGGCTGGCTCAGCCCAGCTGTCCTTTTCGGGGAGAAAGACTGGCCTTCTGCTGGCCGTTTGCCCTGCCTCGGCTGACACTTTGGCTCAGTCAAGCCGAACCAAATGCCTTCGGCTTGGCTGAGCTGCTCGGCCACCTTCGGGTGCTGTACAGGCTATAGTGAATAGCTCGTCCAGCAGCCGTTCGGTTCGACTGAACCGAAGGGCTCTTGCAACCGAAGCTAGCTGAAGGATCAGCTAAAGCTTCAGATGATCCTTCAGCTAGCTTTGTGAATAGATCCCTTAGATTTTTTTCTACAGCAAGGAGCATTGCTTATATTCAATAAAGCAAAATGATCATTTACACCACCACACTAGGTGTGTACATGTGGGTGTTATATTTAGAGGATGGCTGCATAGTAAAAAAATATTCGGCTCGGCTGAGCCACTTGGCCACCTTCGGGTGCTGTAAGAAGCGACGGCTGGATCCTTCGGCTGCTTTGTGAATAGACCCCTAAGTATGGTTTCTCAATTGTTCAATTCAAACACATAAAGAACATGTGCTATTTGTAGAGGTGCACCGAAATGGAAATTTCAAAACCGAAACGAAACCGAAATAAAAAAAATTGTCAGACCGTAACCGAAAATGTTTTCTATTTTAATTTTTTCAACTTTTTAAAATATTTTATTTTTGTTTATTTTTTATAAACTTTTTAATTTTTTTATATTTATTTTTATTTATGAATTCATTTTTTATTAAATACTTTTATTTTTTACTTTACTTTTAGGGGCTTTGGCAGAATTTTGGGGGTCTAAACAGACCCCTGATATTTCCCTTTTAAAATAGAAAAAGAGATTGAGGGCACAAAGTCCTCAGAGACACAAAGTCCTCAATCTATTATTCTGCAGCCCCTGTTATCAATGAACAGGAATCCTCTATACTGAGTGTTCCTGTTCATTCATAACATGAGAACAGAGTATGTTTACTATAACCAAAATTATGAATGGACAGCAGGGGATGTAGATCACTTGCCATTCATTCATAATTGAGGATATAGTACACTACACATACCATGCCCTCAATTATCTACAAACACTCGCTCACAGCGCTCTCCTCCCACGGCGCTCGGCCGGCTGTCACAGTTTCTCTCCTCCCTGCTGGGACACAGAGCAGCGCCCAGCGGGGAGGAGAGAAAGAACGGATGCGCCGATGTATCCACAGGAAAATGGCACTTTCGGCATTTAGCCAAAAGTGCCATTTTCGGCCGATATGTTTCGGCGGCCGATATATCGGTGCATCCCTAGTTATTTCCCATAATGATTGTAATTCTCAGCTATGTGTTTACCGGGATGGATGACTCTTTCCTGCTGCCTCCTCATCTTTTCAGTTGATGTAATTTAATGTTCTTCAGGAATCAGTCCATCACAACATACGCCTAGGTAGAATAACAACATTGGCGTTACTTTTGAAAACACATTTTATTTCTTTTGCCTGTAATACAATCCGAAACCAAATAAAGTTAAATAATGATCAAAGGGGATTCCCCACTTTTACCCCCGCCCACTAATAGCCTTACTCCCCTATTCTGTCCACCCTATTATAGTTTTAGTGCAATGGGTCCTCAGACTGATGTGAATGCCAAAACTGTACATTACAAGCCTCCTGTTTGATAAGCATATTCTGCTGCTATTGATAAAAGACTGTTTGGCAGGACTGTGGACTGTTCCTAGGTGTACTGGAAGAATTGTTTATTAAAAATTGATAAGACAATTAAAATATCCAAGCGAGGATTTGGGGCTCGTTGCATGTTTCATGATTCCATTGAATCAGTCCAAACTTTTGGCGCTTAGCTACACACATGTGGAGGTCTGCTTCTTTTGCTGCTGTAATTGGACCAACAGCAGATGCCACTGCAGGTGCACCAGACACTCCAGAACACCAATATCATATTAGAAACAAACTGCAGTCCCCATGACCAACACATCTAACACTACCAAAGCCCCGAAGAGGGTAAAGCTCAAATGTGTTGGATACTTTTTATGTTATAAACCAATAAAGTGATAATTGTTGTTCAACTGACTGGAAGTTCCAAGGTTTTATGTTCATGCACAGCACACCTTACCTACCTTTGCAATCTAAACATGCTCGAAGGGACCCTCTCCGAGGACCTACCACTAGTTGAGCCACCACAGACCTACCTACCACTGACAGGATCTAATGATACCTCCCACATATACGTTAAAACCAACAGCAGATGATACATCTTATGCTGGAAGCTATAATCTTTTTCCTTTAATGTGCAGGGTTCGCTGGATGGGTTTGTGCTGTGTAGTAGAGCTGTATAAAGAGAGGAGGGGCGGGGGATGTGACGTCCCCCCTTTTATTCAGGAACTCTCCTTCACATCAGGGCCCCCCTTTCAGATCAGATTTCCCTCTTTCACATGATAAGAAGATTTTTTTTAAATGGCAAAAAGGAACGAAACACAACAATCTTGTGACTGACAAATCATCTAATCTGACTTATCTATACATCTCACTATACAGTATATACAATAGGTGACTATCGGCATGATCATAGTTACTTGCTCAGGCTGCTTTCAGTAGGATCTGATTGCGTCTTAGCTCTCTAGGCACTACCATTACATCCCTGTCTGGGAAGATCTGGGAATTTCCCTGTTTAGTTATTTCTATTCTTAGGTTGTGGAGAACAATAAAAAAAAATTAAGCAGCACTCGAACTAGCTAGACAGAGCCGAAAACCTAATAGGCTGCTTCTAACATCTAGACAAAAACATACCTGTGAAGCCGTACTCACAAGGTGCCTCTACAAAAGGAAGTCCCTAATGCAAGCTACAGCCAACCTGGTACACATACAGTATTTGGCAATAGCATAGCTGAGAGCAGGCGTGCCTTACAAGAAGTCACTTTCTTTTCTAAACCAAACATGAGCAGACCCGAAGTAGCATGGCAGAAGGTCATGCCTCATCCGATCGAATTACTTAACCATCTCTCTGCTGCAAACCTTCATTGTGACACTCTTAACTAAACAGAAGTATATGCCTAACGTTCTTGTGAGGCTGGAGGAACTCACCATCTTTTCTGGTTGTCGCAGGATAACTGCAGATCTTAAGCTACAGATCTTTTTCATCATTTCCTGCTGTGCTGCATCACTTCTAAGAGGAAGTTACTCCTCTCGTAGATATGCATGCACCAGATACACAAGGTGTTTAGGAAGCTGCTATACTCTATGTAAATCCTAACCATAACCTTCTCGTTTGTTCCCCTTTGGTCTGTTAAATATGCCACTGAAAGTGTTTTGTTAAATCTGTTCCATACGTGCAAAACATGACAAGAGCATTGCATACGGCTCCTATTGGTCAAATAACCTCCAACAACTAAATTCAATAATAACTCTATTAATGAATGACACGACACTGGTCTTGGATTTTTAGTGGCCACAGCAGCCATTTTATTATTTAGTACCAAAGCCAATTTTAACCATTGTAACAAATTGTAACAAACTAACTGACCGCGGGAGTTAAAGTCCTTGACGTGATATCCATCACCAAAAATACCCAGTATCTGCCCACACGGCCCCCAACCGCACAACACCGCCTCGGGGACTTGTAATCTTACATCAGATACTAAGTAACTAATGATGGACCCGTTAAGACAGGGAGGCCATACCAAAGACAGCTCCCCACTGTCACTTAAACCTCAAGCAAATATGTTGCACCTCAAGGACCCTAATACCCCGCCCAGCTGCAGTGACAAGACAACATGTTAAAACAGATAGAAAAAAGGACAAAGTAGACGAAAAGGTAGAAAACAAGAGAAAACACAAAGGCAACAAAACAAATATAACAAACAGGGAGAGAGGGCGGGAAGCTGCTTCCACGCTGATGACCCCACTGAGACTGACCTTTCCTTCCCAGGGGGCCACCTATCCTCCCAATGCCCTGACCAATCAGGTAAGTGACACCACTCAAAACCCTTTGAGATAATAATTTACCCTATCTAAACCCTGTTAGCCTCTCCAAGACCCTGTCCTGTTGGCCCTACACAGACGCCTCCATCTGCTGTTCCAGGCCTGACTATACTGGTCGAACTTGTGCGTCACTCAAGCTAGGCAACCAGGACATCTCTTGCTGGGTGCCCCAGGGCCCAAGACCAGGACTCAGGTGTGCTATCTAGCCTTTAGCTGCTGATTATTATGCACCAGAGCTATATGAAAACTATAATTGGTTGAATACAGCGTTCCAGTCTCCCCCTGAGACCCCGCACAGCCTTCCCGAGACCCCGACCAGCCGTCCCGAGACCCCGACCAGCAATCCCGAGACCCCAACCAGCCGTCCCGAGACCCCGACATGCCGTCCTGAGACACTCACCAGCCGTCCCGAGACCCCGACCAGCCGTCCCAAGACCCCGCACAGCCATCTTGAGACCCCGCACAGCCCTCCTAAGATCCTCTGCTGGAGACATTAAGCTGGTACGCTAGAGCTGCACTGAGTAAATACTGTAGTTTCTAGATCAGTGTTTCTCAACCTTTTTTTTTTTCAGTCACTGCGCCCTTTAAAAAGTGTGCAAAATCTCGAGGTTCCCCAGTCTAAAATATAATGGATTTTAAGGGGGGGGGGGGATGCTCATGCCAAAACACACAAAGTGGGGTTCCACTTCGTATCAAAGTCCCCCCTTTTATTCAGAAACTCTCCTTCACGCCAGGGCCCCCCTTCTTAGATCCGATTTCCCTCTTTCACATTAGTGTCCCCCTTTTGCATCAGTAGCCCCTCTTCACATCAGAGCCCCCTCCTTTGTCATCAGCAACCTCCAGTCCAGCCTTTTCATCAGAGTCTTACCATCACAAACTTTCAAGACACCCCTGAAGAAGCCAGAAGGCACCCCAGTGTGTCATGGCACCCTGCTTGAGGGAGGCTGATCTAGATCCAGTGTTTTCTCCACCTTTTTTCAGTCACAGCACCTCTGAAAGGTATGCAAAAATCTTCAGGTACCCCAGTCTAAAATGTAAAAAAAAACATGTGTTCTCCACCTCCAAAATCAATATCAAGTAAGATTATTGTTGAAGTATTTGTTTTGATGGCTCAGCTGTATACATTGGCTATACTTTGTATCCTACTCTATATAATAACCATGTTTTGTTCACTGTCATTTTACATTTCTTGTTTAATAAAAAGAAAGTTATACAAAAAAATCAATACTAAACTCTTAGGGCTCGTTCACACCAGGTGCAGTGTGTTCCGGGCCGATTCTGGCCAGAATGCACTGCATCGCATTGCAACCGGCTGGCTATGTTGTGGGACAGGAGGGGGTGTGGCGGTCCATTTAAGTGAATGGCACCGTAGCCACGCCCTCCGGCTGCACCGGCTTGCAAGGCACATTATGCTTGCGGTCCGGTCCGATCAAAATAGTGCTTGCAGGATTTTGTTCGGACCGCAGGCATAATGTGCCTTGCGATCTCGTGCGGTCGATCGCATTGCGGCCGGAGGGTGTGGCTACGGTGCCATTCTTGTCAATGGACAAGAATGGCAGTCCTCCCACTTTCAGTGGGGAGTCCCCCCACTTTCACATCAGAAGTGTAGCGTTAATAAATCCTTTTATCAAGGTGCAAAATCAACTCTATCAAAGTCCATAAAGTTGTGGAAATATCCTTCTGCCCCACAACATAGTGAGCCGACCGCAATGCGATGTAGTGCGTTCTGGCCAGAATCGGATCGAAACGCACTGCATCTGGTGTGAACGAGTCCTTATTCTAGACAAAGGTCTTGTACGGACTTTAAAGGGGAACATAGGCAAATAAAACAAACCAAAAAAAAACACCAATGTGGTGTTTCCCCGTTCAACATCAGAGTCCCCCCGCTTTCACATCAGAAGTGTAGTGTTAATAAATCCTTTTATCAAGGTGAAAAACCAACTCTATCAAAGTTCATAAAGTTGTGCAAATATCCTTCCGTGATAACCAGTAATGTGCAGTATAAATCATAGAATTGTGCAAGTGTCTCGATGTGTTAAAGTTGTGCAAAGCGGGCATGTATTTCAGA